ACAGTGGTGAAGGCGGTGGCGAGGACGGCGGTGGGACAATGGGACAGAGGTACAGTGGGGACAATGGTGGGGACAGTGGGGACAGTGGTGGGAACAGTGGGACAGCTCAGTGGGACAGCGGAGGAGTCAGTGGGACAGTGGGGACAGTGGGGATAGTCGGGCAGTGGTTGGGTCCGTGGAGACAGTGGGGAGAGTGGAACCGTGGTGGGAACAGTGGTGGGAACAGTGGGGACAGTGCGACAGTGGTGGGGGCACTGGTGGGGACAGTAGGGACGGTGGTGGAACCAGTGGGGACAGTGGTGGTGAGGACAGTGGTGCTGGGAACAACAGTGGGGGATGTGATGCGGACGGTGGTAGGGACCGGGAGTCGTTTGCTGGCGGTGCGTGGGGGAGGGGGGTCGAACCGGTAGTGACCCTCCGGTTTTCGAGGGGGGGGGGGGGTTCGAACCGGTAGTGACCCCCCCCCCCGTTTTCCAGATCCGGGGGGGGGGGGGAGGGGTTCGAACCGGTAGTGACCCCCCCCCGGTTTTCGAGGGGGAGGGGGGGGGGGGAGGGGTTAGGGGAGGGGGGGGTTTTGCCGGGCCGGGGGAGGGGGGGGGGGGGATTTTCGGAGGGGAGGGGGGGGGGCGACCCCCGGGCTCCGGAGGAAAAGGCTGGCAATTTTCCACAGTAAAGCGGCGGTGGATCACGCTCTCTCGGATATCATGGCCACCTCTTCTTATTTCAAACCGCCCCCTGGCCCCCCTGGGCTGTGCACGTGCTTCTTGCCATGCTTTGCGCACCCCCCCTCTCGGACGCCCCCGAAGCAGCAGGGGAGGAACAGAAACGCCCCGACTCTCACAGAGAGCCACAATCCTGCTCGACCCCTTTCTCTTGGTGCGTTTTCCAAAAGGTGGCGGAACTTCTCAGAGGCCCTCGCGCCTTCTGAGAGGTATCATGTATCTTCGGGGAAGGCTCAGCAAACCTCTCAGAGGGCCAGGGAACTTCCGAGCCTTCTGAGAAGGCCGTCGCCTTCTCGCTTCCCCCCGGGGCTCGCCGTCGAAGCTTGTCATGAGGGCGGTCGTTCTACTCCCTGCATCACGCAGCGCGCTCCCTCCGCACCCCCAGGGGCGTCTCTCCGGCGCGGGTCCCAGGCCTCCCTGCGTCGTGGAGGAAGCACGACGGAGCTCACGCCGTGTGCAATTGATTGTGGCATCGCTCGGACGTTTGCATTTTTCACAGCGAGGACCATCGAGGAGCATCCTGGATCATTTTGCGAGAAATGAGCGCACGCAGCCGGAACATGCACGGGAAGTGAACGTCCGAGCGATGGCAAGTTTCCGGCCTTGCTCGACGCCTGGAGCGTCAAGAGGCGACTGGTGATGAAAGTTGCCCACCTGGAAGAGACAATTTTTATCCCCTGGCGGCAACGGGCGTGACTGGGGGGGGGGAGGGGGCTGGTCACGTTACGATGCGCACCAGCGCCGCCTGGGAATGCTTAGGAATGGCCCATCTCACGCGGCGCCGGTGCGAAGCGTTGACCAGGGCAGGAGGGGAGAATGGGAAGTGAGGGGGCCGGTCACGGGCGTCAATTACGGTCGGACCGACGTAAAATATCGAGGTCGGTTCGGGGAGGGTACCCCAGTGTTCTTCGTGTTTGTTGGATGTTTTTGTGCATCCTCGCGGAGTGTAACCTTATGTTCTTCAGTTTGGCCGTCGGAGGGTCTCACGTTCTTGAGGGATATTTTTCTGTCATAGGTCCCGCCGTACCCTTGCCGCTCCCTCTTCCACCGTTGGTGTGGGCGAGCTCTGATGTCTATAGGCTTCCCAGATGGGGTCGGAGCAGCTGTGGTCGGAGGATCGCGTCGCATCGCCGATGCATTGGCGATGCGGCTCGACGTGGAGCCTGATTTGCGGTGTCCTGATTTTTGTGTAGCACGTCCCCCGAAATCCCGACCCTTTCCCCAGGGCCGCTTGTTCACCAATTGTTTTCGACGGTCTGGGGCCCAGGGAAGGACCCCGGAGGCCGAAGACCGCCAAACACCTCCCGCCGTGTTTCTGTTTACGACGCGGGCATGTCTGGGGATGCATCGCCCACTTGGTATCGCTCGGACGTGTGCACTTCTTCTCGGCGGGGACTATTGAGGAGCATCCTGGATCATCCTGCGAAAAAAGCACGCACGAAACCGAACAAAAGAATAGGGAATGGACGTCCGAGCGATGGCCAGCCCACGTCGTCGAGGTTTCTGCTCTCCGCGGCACGCAGCGCGCCCCCCTCTGCACCCGGGGACGCTCCCGTTCGGTAGCACCTCACGGGAGTCTGGTCTGTCCTCGGGACCCCGCTTCTTGAATGCATTAGCGTTCTCTAGCGTCTGGTAGTCGGTGAAAAATCTCGATTTCGCGTTGACCAGCGTCGATTGCCGTTGATCGGCGTCGTTTGTGTCGGTCGGCGACGACTCGCAAGAGCGAGCAGGATACTGGAGCAGCAGCAGGAGGAGAAGGAGGAGCAGGAGGAGGAGGAGAAGGAAGAGGAGAGGATGATGATGATGATGATGATGATGATGATGATGATGATGATGATGATGATGATGATGATGATGATGATGATGATGATGATGATGATGATGATGATGATGATGATGATGATGGTGGTGGTGGTGGTGGTGGTGGTGGTGATGATGATGATGATGATGCTGATGATGATGATGATGAGGAGGAGGAGGAGGAGAAGGAGGAGGAAGAGGGGCAGGGTGAGGGAGAAGGGAGGAGGGATATGGGAGAGAGGAGGTAAGCTAGGTGCACTCGCCCTATATCTGACATCATGTCCCTCCTACACATCCCTTCCCGTTACGCTGATTTGTCCCTATCCGCAGACGGATAGCGAACCTGGAATCCCAATGCGTCACGTGGTCGGTGGACATTACAAGAGGAGAAGAAGGAGGAGAAGCATGAGGAAGACAGCAACAGCCTCGTCGCTGAGGTTCGTCCCACCTACAGGAGAAAAGGGGGGAGGATGCGATGTCAGGAGGATGGGCAGGAGGATGGGGAGGAGGAGGAAGGAGGATGACGAAGAAGAGCAGCACCAGGGGAACGCGGAGGAGGGGAAACGGAGCGGGGCGCCAACGGCGAGGAGCCGTTTGGATCTGTCGGAGTTTCCCGCGCTGGGGCGGCAGCGCCATCCTGAGCGACGGGAGGCAGAGCGCCGATCCGAAAGTTGGGCCACGCTGAAGCGGTGTCACCATTTTGAACCACTTTGAACAAGGGCTCCCTCGAGGGCGCGAAGTTATTCGCGCTTCGCGCTTCGCGGTCCTCGTTCCTTCTCCCCCTCCTCCTCGTCCTCCTATTCTCCTTTTGGGAGGGCGGCGCGAGAGCGCGAAGTTATTCGCGCTTCGCGCTTCGCGCAGCGCGAAGCGCGAAGTTGGGAGCCCTAGTTGAAACACCAGGAACGCTCGGACTGGAGACCACAGAAGACAGACCACGACATGAAGTGCACGTGTCGATGCAAGTCGTGGGAGGGGCGGAGCATTTTCCGCACAGAAGTCAGGGGATAGAGGATCGTAGCATTCATGTTGAATAATTGGCAAGCTGGGTGCGCCCGCTCGCCACATCTGACATCCTTCCCCTCTCACCTAGCCCTTTCCATTGCGCTGATGTTTCGTTATCCGCCGACGGGTGTCATAATGGCCCTGGAAACTCCAAAACGACACCATCGTGTTATGAGCAGTCAGACAACGAGTGGTGTGCGTTGGAGGAGGAGGTGGCGGATGAACAGGAGGACGAGCAGGAAGAAGAGAAGGATGAGGAAGGAGGTAGAAGATGAGGAACAGCAGCAGCAGCAGCAGGAGTGGGAGGAGCGGGCTGAGCAGGATGACTGGGGGAACGCTGAGGAAGGGAAACGAGCGAGTGACAACGACAAGGAACGACTCGGATCTATCCAGGGCCGTCTTGGAGGCCATCTTGGGCGTCTTGGAGGCCATCTTGGGCGTGTTGGAGGCCTCTTGGGCTGTCTTGGGGCCCTCTTGGGGCCATCTTGGAGGCCACTTGGGCCGTCATGGGGCCATCTTGGGGGCCTCTTGGGCGATCTTGGGGGCCTCTTGGGCCGTCTTGAGCCGTCGGAAAGCCGAAAAGGCGCAAATGCCAACACCCTTCAAAAACCTAAGCAAAATCAATGATTTTGGCCTCTTCGGGCCCTCCTGGAGGACCTCTTGGAGGCCTCTTGGGCCGTCTGGGAGGCCTCTGGGGGGCCTCTTGGGCCGTCTTGGGCCGTCTTGGACTCTTGGGTCGTCTTGGAGGCCGTCTTGAACCGTCTTGGGCGGACTTGGAGGCCATCTTGGGCCATCTTCGCGATTTTCCATGTCCCGAGCGAAACGGCCGTTTTTGGAGCCGTCTTGGGTAGGAAATTTTGGGATTTGGGGATTTTCCGGGTGGCCGGCGGGACGGGCCGGAGCCCCAGGGGGAGTTCTTTTGGAAAAAGACCCAAAACCAAAACCGAGAGGATCTAGCACGCCAGGCACCCCTGCGATGAGTCGACAGGGGGCGGCGGATTAACGGCCTTCGGCCCATCCCGCCACCGTGCCTGGGTTGTTTTGGGGCGCTCTTAGGCCGTCTTGGGGTCCTCTTGGAGGCTTCTTGGGCCGTTGTGGTTTGGTCTTGGGGGCATCTTGGGGCGTTTTGGTCAGTCCGTTTTTAGACTGCACTATCGTGCGCTAGCGTCGCCTTATCGCAGACCAGCGTCGATTGGCCCGCTCTGCACCCGGGGAGGGGTCGGTGAGGGGACCGTTGTACAAGATCGAGGTCGGTTCGGGGAGGGTGCCCTGATGTTCTTCGTACTTGTTGCATGTTCTTGTGTATCCTGGGGAAGGGTACCCTGAAGAATGGTTCTTCTGTTCCGGAGGGGGGTCTCGTGTTCTTGAAAGACGTTCTTCTGTCTATGCTCCGACCGTAGCGTCGATCCAGCGTCGACCAGCGTCGACCAGCCCCCTCCGCACCCGGGGGCGCCCCCGAGAGCTGCCGCCCGCGAGGCGCGCCAGGGCCGCAGGGCCCGCGGGGGCCGCAGGGCCACCGCGGGCCGCGGGGCAGCCCGGGCTACCCGGGCATCGTGGGGGGCCGCGGGCCGCCAGGCTGCGGCGGCCCTCTCTCGGCTACGCGGAGGAGTGACCTTTCGCCGGGGTGACCTGTGGTGCGGGCCCAGAGGGGGCCCCCAAGGGCTGCATGCGATGTGATGGCAGCAGCTTGTACGCCTGGTGATGTCCCAAAGGGCCCCCGCTTGGGCTGCGCACCAGAGGTCACTTTGGCTGCGGCGGCCCTTTCTCGGCGCGGGGGGGGGAAGAGGGTCCTGAGGGCAACATTTCTGATTCGCGGGTCGAGAGCGCACTTCTTCCGGTCGAAGCTAAGTGGGCCGCGCGAAGCTTGAATTAACAGAGAGGGGGGGACAGAAGGAGGGGCCTCACGGCAAGGCCAGGAGGGGGCAAAGCCCCGGGGTCGCCCTGAGGGCAACGGGTCCTGAGTTTTTTCGTTTTTTTCTGGCTCTCGGGGCCCTCCACCGGCCCTGGGGCTGGCAGGAAGCGCCTCGGGGTGAAGAGATCTCGTCCCGGAGGCAGGCTCTGGGGCCCCGGGACCCGTCCCCGCCATGCTAACTTGTTCTCGGCGAGGAGGGGGGAGGGTGGATGGGGCGGAGGAGGGAGGGGCAGAGGAGGCGGAAAAGGGAGGGGATCGGAGGATGAGGAGGAGGAGGAGGAGGAGGAGGAGGAGGAGGAGAAGGAGGAGGAGGAGGAGGAGGAGGAGGAGGAGGAGGAGGAGGAGGAGGAGGTGTACCGATGCCGCTGCCCTTCCCTCGCGCTTCGCCTCTTTGGGCCTCGTGGGAGGCCCTCGTCGCCACGGCCGGATTCGGGCATGGCGGGGGGGGCGGGCGCGGGCTGCCCGGCTTGGACCCTCGCCGAGGAGGCGGAGGCAGAGGAGGCGGGCCCAGAGAGCCGAGGCTCCGAAGAGAGTTGAACGACCGGCTTCTGACCGAGGAGGCGGAGGCAGAGGACCGACTGCACATGAGAGTGACCCTTCGCCGGAGTGACCTTTTGGTGCGGGCCTACCGGGGTCTCCCGATCGCCGAACGCGATGCGATAGTAGCGTCTTGCGCGCGTGGGGTTGCCCCCCCCCTCCCCCCGCGGCCCCCCGAAAGCCGCGCAGCAAAGGTCAGTCACTCTTGCCCAGGGTCGCCCTGGGGTGTAGCCGAGATGAGCGGGACTCGGAGATCCGAAGCTCACGAAACGGTTGGAGCCACAGCTGGTTTCCGCCATTCTCGACCCCCCGGGGCCCTCACAGAGGAGGCGGACCCAGAGATCCGAAGCTCTGTGAAGTTCCGAACAGGTTGGGAGCGGCAGTTTTTTGCCCATTTGCGATCCCCGAGGCCCGCAGCGGACCCGCAGGCCGTCAGACAATTTTTCAGGGCGAAAAAGCAATCCCAGGGAAGTCGTCCAGACCCTAGGGACTTACGCATCGGAAAGGTTGGAGCGCCGGATGTGCGGGGAGGAGGGAGGGAAGGAGGAAATCGGAATCGGAATCGGGATGAAGCAGTGCGTCCAGTTTTCTGCGACCACTTGCGAGCCCTGCCCCTATGGGTTCACTCGACGCAGAGGTGTCGGCCACCCCCGCTGGGGTTCGCTTGGCTGCAGACATCTTTCGAACTTTGAACCCCTGCCAGTTTTTCACAAATCTGACCTGCAGGAGTAGGGCTCGCACGAGCGACGCCGAAAAACGGGCTCGACTGCGGGGACATTCGCCCGTGAACTTCCCGGGTGAGGTCGCGCGTAAGCGCTCTCTTCCACGTGGCGTTCCCCGCTGGCGGCCCGCGCAAGCCACCGCGTAAGGTCGCCATGCCATATTGCGTAAGGCCCGCTTCTCTTCGTCGCCCACACGTGGCTATCCAGTGACGGTTATAATCGGACCGAGGTATAAGATCGAGTTCGCTTCGGGGAGGATGCCTCACCGTTCTTTGTGTTTGTTGGATGTTCTTGTGCATCCTGGGTAAGGTACCCTAATTAGTATGTTCTGTGTGTTTTGGCCCGCGCAGGGTTTCATGTTCTTGAAGGATGTTCTTCTGTCCGGGGTCTGGCCGTACTGCGCGCGGCAGTGCCGAGTTGAAGAGGAGCGAGCGTGCTGGATCAGAGGGAAGCCCCCGCCTCCTCCACCAGAGAGGCTGGCCCCCGCCTTGGCACTCGGGCGACGACATCTATGCATATCCGCTGTTCCCTGGCTGGGCCCTTCCTGGGCCCAGGAGCTGTGTACAGTCAACGCGCTTAGTAAGGGCGCGCGCCTTCATCTAGGGTACCCTGGTGCCCTTGCCTCTGCGGCCCGTCCTTTTCCGTTTTCACTGGTCGCCCGCCCCCCAACATTTGCCAGCTGCGAATTCCAAGGTTCTTGCGTCCTTACCACCTGTCCTTAATGCACGTTTTGACTGTATACGCCCTCCCAGCCAAGCCAGGAGGGCGTGGCGTATACACCGCTGCTGGGTTCAGGACGGGCCTGGCCAGGGAGCAGTGGATATGTACTCCGGATTCCATAGTCAAGTGGGGGTGGGGGTCACACTGTCTTGGAGGGTTCGGGTGCGTCGGGGCCAAAGGAAGGCCGCCTGTTCATGGCTGGTGCGGGGGGGGAGGTCAACAAGTGGCCCGTCTGGGTGGGTTGTGCCCCCCCCCCCCCCCCCCTTTTTATGGATTACGAGATGTGGAGTACAGATTTCGTCGCACTATGGCATGAAGAACTCGGTGGGCTTAGCTGCCTCGATACGCCTGCACTGAAACGCAACACGTACGGCGCGCAGATCGTCCATGCTAATACGTTGTGTGTTGGCTCAACGCATTAGCACACGTTTTGGCGAACGTCTCGCGTCATGCCTACGTTTTGAGTCTGCGTGTTGAGCTCCGTGTCAATACGCTACGTGTTGCGTTTTTTCGTATCGGGACAGCTAAGACAGGAGTTGTCCCAGCTTGAGCCTTCTCGGGGCAGCTCGTCGGGCCGCACTGCGCCGGGCTGCCTCAGCCCCCGTTGCGTGCAAGCCTTTGCTCCGGCTGGACGCAAGAGTGACCCTCCGCCGGAGTGGCCTCTGGTGCGGGCCCAATGGGGCCTCCCGGTCGCTGAGCGCGAAGCGGCAGCAAGCTGTAAGACTCCAGGTCGGGTCTGCCCGTCAAGAGCGCCCACGCGTCTTCTCTGTCAGGGCTGGTGTGGCACTCTGAAGCCCCGTGGTGCCGCGTGCTGGAGTAGAACGTGTCCGGGCAGGCGTAGGGAGAGGAGAAATCGTCCCAGAGCGTTCCTTGCGCGCCCAGGTTTGGCCACCCCGCGTCTCCCGTAAGCCGCCCACCAAAGGTCACTCTTGCATAGGGTCGCTCTTGTGTGTAGCCGACTCCCGTTGGCTGAGGAGAGAGAGAGGGAAGGACCACCGCCCGGTTATCGGAATGAGCTCATCCGCCACGATCGCTCCATCGCGGCGGCAAGAGGGCATCATTCGGCGGCAAACTCCGAACCCTGCCGTCGCCGATTCACGATTAGGAAACTCGATGGGCGGCGGGGGTAATTAGGGTTCGGAATTCGTCGAACACGTGGCGAAATTCGATCCATACCCCCGCCTCCCACCGATTCAGGACAATCGATGGTTGGTGGTGGTAGAGGGTTCGGATGTCGCCACCTACAGAGGGCACCATGCCTCTGGATCGATCGGAGGTTGATAGACCTCCTACCCTGACACGTCGATTAGCGAATTGGCCGTCTTCGATTCGCGAGAGGGCGCCGCGGCCGCCATTTTTGCGGGTCCAGGTCCGTCGGTTTCGATCTTAGGTAGGCCGTCTGCACTACAGGGAGGCTTACTGACTGGAGGTTTGTCCACCGCCGAATCGAGAGCCTGCGCCGACTGACGACGAAGGGTACAGTCGGGGCCCTGAAGAAGGAACCCTTTTCGTTGGGGAGGGGCTCCGTGTTCCTTGATTGTTTCGCAGTTTGCCTTAAATTTCCCTTAGGTTTTCGATGCGAAATCGAAGTTCAACTTATGGAAAATAGGGGCCTCGTTCCTTATTTAGGGTTCCTTAGGTCAACGCCTCGACTGTACTAAAGGGAGGTTTGTCCACCGCCGAATCGAGAGCCTGCGCCGACTGACGACGAAGGGTGGTTTCGAGGTGCGGGCCTCGGCAGGTTGACGGACGGCCTGCCGGCAAAATGGGGCCAAGGGGATCGGCGGCAGGAAGAAGAGGGAGGGGGACGAGGAAGGTGGAAATCGGAGGGTGGAGGGGTGAGGAGGAGGAGGAGGAGGAGGAGGAGGAGGAGGAGGAGGAGGAGGAGGAGGAGGAGGAGGGGGAGGGGTGAGGAGGAGGAGGAGGAGGCGGAGGAGGAGGAGAAGGAGGAGGAGGCGGAGGAGGCGAGGGGCCGCGGGTCCCCAGGCCCCCAGGCCTCTGCCTGTGCCAGGGGGAGGGGGGGGGGGGTCGAGGGCGTGGCCCTCGTCGCCGTCGGCGGCGGCGGCGGCGGCGTCCCCAAACTCCAGAGATTTGGGCTTTTTCGGCTAGCGTTTTTTGTTGTGTGGGTTTCGGCCCCCAGGGGGCCACTGCCAGAGAAGCAGACAACGGGCCCAGGGCGGACAGGTACCCCTGGAGAAGCGGTCGGGGCTTCTGGGGCCGCGGATCGACAAGGCCACCATCGGAGGACGCTGGGGTCGTCGACGTTGTCGTCGTCGCCGCCGTCATCGGAGCCGCCGCCCGCCGCCGCCGTCGGAGGGGGAGGAGGAGGATCCTCCAAGGCATGGACGGCAAGGACGGCAAGGACGGCTCACCCCTGACGCTGGTGGGGATCGCCTGCGAGTGGGCCGACTGGGTTGACTGGAGCCCCGAGTGCGCTGGCGCGGCGGCGGAGGAGGAGGGCCGCGAGTCTCGAGATGGTGCGGTGACCACACCGTCGGGCGAGTCAGTGAGGATGGTGAGGCTTCGGGTTGCGCGCAGACAGCCCCCCCAGGTAGCCCTTGCTGGCCTCAACAGGCCCCCCCAGATAGCCCCGGCTGGCCTCAACAGGCCCCCCCAAACAGTTCAGGGCGGTCTCAACACCCTGGCGCCGCCTCCGGCGGCGCCCCTGGGGCGCGGAGCGCCCCGTTTGGGGTGTTGATGAGACCGCCCAGTACTATTCGGGGGGCCTGGTGAGGCCATCCGGGCTATCTGGGGGAGGGCTGCTTGTGCGCAACCCGGGACCTCACCAGACCACCCTGTCGGTGAGTCAGTGTGGATTCGGGGCGGCCGCATTGTTTCGGGACTTGGAGGGTATTTCTCCGCTGGCGTCTCGGGGTTCAAGGCGTGTGCGGGACCGCTGGGGCAGGAGTCACATATTGAAACCACCCGCTTTGCATCCGTGTAGCTGTTGGATTTTCCGTTTGGGGATGATATAGGGCTGAAGAAGTCTCAGGCGAAACGCCAGGCCCTCTTTGCCAGCCCGTCGTGTGGTGCAAGGAGGAGAAGTTACATATCAATTTGGGTCTCTTGGGTTTTTTTCTGCGGCCTTCCTTGCGGCGCCTGTTGAGGCCAATTTGGAGCCACCCCCCGTCTGAGCCCGAAGCATGGTCTGTCGGAGGGAATCCTTGTGTGCGCACTTGTGACCGTCTTGGAACCGTAATCGGCCCATCATGGGGCCGTCTTGATTTTGGAGCCACTTTGAAGCATCAAAACCACCAGGAAGCGAAAGGACGAGAAAATAACATAGATTTATCAAGTCCATCTGTTTGCAAGATTTTGGCCTCTCGGGGTGTATCATCGAGAGGACACGTGGCTACTTGGATCCCTCTCGGGGCGGTCTTGGGGCCTCGTGGAGGCATGTTGGAAACCGTTTTGAGCCATCTTAGGGAGTCTCAAGTACGATCTTAGAGGCATTCTTGGGCTATCAACGGCCCCCTTGGAGCCATCTTGGGCCGTCTTGGACGCTTTACCCCCTCGCTGGAGGTGGCGTCGAAGGACTTCCCCGTATAGAATGGGTAGGCCCCCCCCAGTCACCCCTCGGCCACAAGACCGGTCGTCAGATCAAGACAAGGCGATGCCGAGGCGGTCTCCAAGAAAATAGCTACCAAGATTGCACGCGATGGTTCAACATGGTCCAAGGTGGGCCCCCACTAGGCAAGGGGCAGGTGTTGCGACGTGGGGGTAGCAGGTGGGGCGTGGTGGGTATACCCTCCCCGAAACGGAAGAAGGGGGTCGGAAGAGATGTCGCCCTGAATTCCAAACCTTCTGCGCTCTGAGGGCTTCCAGGAAGAAATAATACGGAGAGACGAGGACGGGAGCTGATGATTATGCTGATGTTGATGTTGATGACGATGATGAGGACTCTAAAAACTGACTGTGCGGTATGTAACCCTAAACCGATGCACGCAGGCGACATTCTGCTGAGCCGCGTCGTGGCAGTAGCATTCCGCAGCGGCACACGGACGCCAGCTCGAAACGATCAGGCAAGTGTTGCACCTGTTGACTGCTGCTCATGTCGGATCCAGCGGCTGGAGCTCCCGTGTTCTGGTTTCCCCGCGGCCACTGCGTGCGTGGCAGCCGTCCTCTGCTTCTCGTCGGTGTCTCGGCGGCATCAGCCGGCAGTCTGTGGGTTTTGCCCCTCTTGACCTGTGCGGTGCTCCACCTCGATAGATGCTGCACGTATCGGTGCATCGTTCGCGCCTGATGCTCGAGCCCGCAGGCTGGACATCGCAAATCACAGTTTACGCAGTGCTGGTGCTTTGTGTTAGCACGTTGTCTTTTCTTGCGGCGTATACCACAGCGTTACATTTGAATTTGGTTCTTTACATGTACATCTACCCATGACAGTGCCAACGCATTGGAACCATCAACCATCATGTATGATAACATGTTGCAATCTATCACTACTTAGAGTTCTTACGTGCGCCACATTGTGCCGCCTGTACCGCTTTCCCAGCTGTCCCGCAGCACTGCCTCAGTGTCCCCTCAGTGCAACTACTCAAAGACGGCATATTAATCTGCAGCAGCAGCAGCGACAGTCATTCTAATCAGGTTTGCTCTCACACGCATGCGTGCCATTCAACATGTATCACCCCCTAAACCCTCGATGCCCGCCCTCTTCGTCTTTGATCGTGCCCCCTTTGGGAAGTATATCTTCCTTCGCTGCGATGTATGATCGCATTATCGCTTGAGCTTTCCTCGTGATTCATGCAGGATCCACGCTTCAGCAACCCGCGTGCTCGACCTGGTCGCCTGGGCCCGCTTTCCCGACCTGCCCGCTATGGGTCTGCCCACCCGATCTGCCCCTCTGGTTCTACCACTTGTTTTCTGCTCCTTGTTTCCCTTCTGCTAATTTCTCTCGTGTTTCATTCTTCTCCCTCCCCCTTCCACCCGTCTTCTCTTTCCTTTTTTAGGGGCTGCACTAATGCACGTGACACGTAAGGAAGATATCCCCCCAAGGGGGTACAATCGAAGACGACGAGGGCGGGTGCCGAGGGGTTGGGATATACGTATTGGTTGGCACGTGAACAGATAGGAGCGAACATTCTTAAACTGATAGTTGTTGTTGTTACTGTTGGTGTTGTTGTAAGCTGGGGGCCAAAAACACAGTCTGAGGTCCAATGATCTTCTTTGTAGAGAGTCCAGTGCGAGCTCCAAGAGGGGCACTTCAATTGCAAAAGCAGGATTGGCACAGGAGAGGGGGATGAACAAAAATGGTTAACAGCAGCACCAGCAACAAGAACAGTCAGTTAAATACTGCTCGCTCGTATTTGCTTGCGTGGCAATTAACTCAATTAACGTGCATATGCCGAACTCTCGATCCCCGCCCTCTTCGTCTTCGATCGTTCCCCCGTTGTGGAGTATATAGTGGGGCCTCTAAAGTTTTGACCATTCCAGTCGACCTGCGACCCCTTTACCCCCTTTGAGTCCTACAGCGCGAGGTCCGACGGCGGCGGAGTATGTTTCGGCCCTCACCAGGTGTTCTTTAGATATCACAAGTTCATGATCATGTTAAAGCTTACGCCGCGTGTTTTCTCCCGGACAACTTACTACGTCGTCGGGGTTGACTCCGCCCCGCTTGTCCTTGCTGCAGAAATAACCTACCCCACGTCCTCTGAAACTCACTCCGCCGCCGTTATATCACGACGGCGAACGGTTTGAACGTTTAGTGGCATTTTACCTCGACGCAACATCGCCTGAGGATGGGCTCGCGCCGCGCACCTTGAGTCGCATGCGCACCGTGGCAGAATGGTCACAAACATTAGTAACGGGTTTGCGCGACATGCGTTTGCAATGATTGCGCATTGATTTCGACTTCGGGTCGACGGCGGCGGCGGCGACAACGATGGCGACGGCAGCGGCGTCGGCGAAATCGGCGCCGGCTACGGCGACGCGAACGATGACCACAGCGACGACGACAACGATGTAGTGGTCATCTCGATGCTAGAATTTTCGCAGTGGCGTTCCCAGAAGTTTTGACCATCCAGGTGATTGTGCGACCACCTTCCCCCCGCTGGATCTTACAACGTGGGGTCTGGCGGCGGCGGAGTAGTTTCGGCCCTTACCAGGTTTTCTTTCGATATCACATCTTCATTGACGTGTCACAGCTTACGCCGCACGTTTTTACGCGGAAAAACAGACTCCGCCGTCGGGGGTGAATCTAATCCGTTTGTCATTGTTGCCGCAATAGAAATAATTAACCCCACGCGTTCTGAAACTCACTCCGCCGACGTTCTATCAGGACGGCGAGTGGTTTCTGCGCTCAGGGACACTTTGCCTCGACGCAACATCGCCTAAGGATGGGCTCGCGCCGCGCACCTTGAATCGCATGCGCACCGTGGCCGAATGGTCGCAAACACCAGTAACGTGTGAGTCCATTCCTTACCTGCAACCCTTTGATAGGAACAGGAGGGAGACAGGAACAGAGAATGAGAGAGAGAGAGAGTGAGCGATGAGGAAAGGAGCGCAGGAAGGAGGGGAGAAGGGAAGGGGCAAGATTGAGGAGGGAGATGGATGGAGCACGAAAGTGATTGGCAGGAGGCGGGTTAGGAGCAGGAGAACAAGCGGCATAACCAGACGGGCGGGTTGGGCGTGCGGGCCCTGACCGGCGGGTCGGGCGGGCGGGCCCAGACGGCCGGGTCGAGCGGGCGCGTCGCTGAAGCGGGAGTCCTGCATGGATCGTCAGGAAGTCTGTAGCGATAGCGAGATTCCCAAGTAAATCGTGAGGAAGTCCAGGGCGCGGCGCGTAGTTTCTGAGTGTCGAGGGCGGTGTGTGTGTGAATATATATATATATATATATATATATATATATATATATTGCGAGGACGTCCCAGGCGAGAGCACGATCCTGTGGCAAATTGCGACGAGGTCCCGAGCGAGAGCGCGATTCTTCAGTACAGGTTGAGGACATGTCAGGCGGGAGCCGTCGCTGTTGCGGTTCGGCGGCCGGGGCCCCCGGTTCGGGCCCGGTGTTGCGAAGACGCAAGAAGCAGGGCGTGAGCCACGAGAGGGGCACTTCACGTGAAAGAGGACACGCGCTCCCAGAGTCGCAGGCCTGGAGGTTGACACCAGCACCAATATCGGCGGTGCTCCTCCACCGAGGAAAGGAGATCCCGATCTCGGTGATGGTGGTAATATTCTGGCTTCAGGGTGACCGAAATATTACCACCAACGCCGAAATCTAGGATCATCTCTCCCCTGTGGAGGCAGTCCCCTGTCTTGGTGTTGGTGCCTCTTTCCAGGCCTTCAACAGAGGGGGATCATTGACAACTATTCTTCAGACGTGAAAACTCAATCTCCCACACGAAAAACACAGGCGGTCAGAGGGGGAATGGTGCAGCAAAGAAGCTCAAGGGAATTCGGAAAAACGAATAGTCGGACATTTCGTTGTGC